GAACTCGGTGTGATACTCGAGTTGGGCTGAAAAACTATTCGTTCTCTGCAATTTTTTTCGACATTATATGTTGTCAGGAAGCTCTACGAGTCCCCCGGCGGTAACAAAGGTTGACGGTTTACCTCCGGCGCCCAGTAACTCGTAGAGCTCCCCTTAGCAAGTTATTGCTGGAAGCTTAAGAGTAATTCCGGCGCGCTGGAGAGCTAGTTGGCAAGAAAAAAAAGAACTGAACTTTTCACAACTTTTGCTCGGTTGAAAATTTGGTTCTCGAAATTTGACAATTCGTTTTGAGCTCTAGTATTTTTTCCCGTGATACTCGATCTTATTCCCGCTCGCCATCTTGAATCTCAGCTCGATCGGGTGAATATTACTATCGAAAAGCACACTGGCGGGATCGGCCGTTTCGAGTCATCTTGATACGCGTTGTCGGTATTTTGTACTTAACTCGAGCTGTAGGGCAGCTACAGAGCTGGTAAGCACACCTATCGCATTCAGAATCATCAGGCGCGTTCGCCTGTTGAATCTAGAGGTCTGAATTCGGTCTGCTAGCCGAGCTAGGTGCGCAGACCTATTCGTATTATTCGAGTCATCTTGACAGACGCTCTCGGTTTTCTGTACTTAACGCGAGCTGTAGGGCAGCTACAGAGCTCATAATTACAGAAATCGATCGGGAATCATCAGGCGCGTTCGTCTGTTGATTCCAGAGCTCTAAAATCGGCCTGCTGCTCGAGCTAGGTTCGCAAACCTATTCGTATTGTCCGAATCATCTTGAGAAGCGCTTTAATTTTCTGCACTCAACTCGTGCTGGGGAAGGCTACAGTGCTGCGGGTCACACAAATCGATTTCCACAGATCAGGCGCGTCCGTCGGTCGATTCTAGAGCTCGGAACTCGGTCTGCTGCTCGATTTAGATCCGCGAAACTATTGTATTATTCGAGTCATCCTGAGAGATGTTGTCAGTTTTCTGCACTCAACTCGGTCTTCAGCGGGCTGCCGGGCTGTTAATTACATGGGTCGATTTGGAGACATCAGACGCGTCTGCCTAGTGCATTCAGAGGTCTGAATTCGGTTTGATACTCGAATTGGATTGCGAAACTATTTCTTTTTTCTTAGAGTCATCTTGTCTGAAATCGCTTGGGCTGAAAAACTAGTCGTTCTCTGGAGTTTCTTTCCACGCTATATGCTGTCAGGAAGCTCTACGAGTCCCCCGGCGGTAACAAAGGTTGACGGTTTACCGCCGGCGCCCAGTAACTCGTAGAGCTTCCCATAGCAAGTTATTGCTGGAAGCTTAAGAGTAATTCCGGGGAGCTGGAGAGCTAGTTGGCAAGGAAAATACCTCGTAGAGCTCTTCAGCAAAGAGCTGAGAGGAATTCCGGCGCAGGGTAGAGCTAGTTGGCGGGCCCGACCAAAAGAGAGGATGTGGTAACCCGGGGTCGGTTTTTTTAACTTTATGCAAAATTTTGAAATTCGTTTTGAGAACCAGTATTTTTCTCACGTGTAGTGGGTTGTGCCGCGCTCGCCAGTAAAATTCTCAGGTCCGTAGCTGCAGTATTACTATCAAAAGACATGAGGGAACCGACTTTGGATGAAAACCCCAAGATCGTGTTTTTTTCGAGTTTTTCTGCTCTTGCTTCAGAAGCTCCTTTTATGTGTTCCAATGAGCGCTGTGCAACAAAGGAGCTCTACGAGGTGCCCGGCGGTAACCTGGTTGACGGTTTACCGCCGGTTCCCAGTCTCGACGGACCTTTTGATGACTTTTGGTCGGTTGAAAATTTTGTTCTCGAAATTCAACAATTCGTTTGAGCTCTAGTATTTTTTCCCATGATATTCGATCTTATTCCCGCTCGCCATCTTGATCTCAGCTCGATCGGGTAACTTTGAAGGCCAAAAAGCAGGCAGGCGGGAACGGCCGTTTCGAGTCATCTTGATACGCGCTGTCGGTTTTCTCAAGATAGCTCGAGCTTCAGGACAACTACAGAGCTGGTCAGCACAGCTAATGCATTCAGAATGATCAGGCGCGTTCGCCTGTTGAATCCAGAGGTCTGAACTCGGTCTGCTAGCCGAGCTAGGGTCGCAAACCTATTCGTATTATTCGAGTCATTGTAGCAGACGCTCTCGGTTTTTCGTACTTAACTCGATCTGTAGGGCAGCCACAGAGCTGATAATCACAGAAATCGATTGAGAATTATCAGGCGCGTTCGTCTGTTGAATCAAGAGCTCTGAACTCGGCCTGCTCCCCGAGCTAGGTTCGCGAACCTATTGGTATTGTTCGAGTCATCTTGAGAAGTGCTCTCGGTTTTCTGTACTTAAATCGTGCTGGGGGAGGGCTACAGTGCTGCTGGTCACAGGAATCGATTTCGGACATCAGGCGCGAACCGAGAGCTCGGAATTCGGTCTGCTGCTCGAACGAGATCCGCGAAACTGTTGTATTATTCGAGTCATCCTGAGAGGTACTCTCGGTTTTCTGTACTTAACTCAGGCTGTATGGGGGGCTGCAGAGCTGGTAATCACAGGAATCGATCCGCAGACATCAGACGCGTCCGCCTGTCGCATTCAGAGGTCTGAACTCGGTTTCATACTCGAGCTCGATTGGAAAACTGTTCGTTTGTTTTGTTAGAGTCATCTTGAGAGGTCTATAATCGCTTGGGCTGAAAAACTAGTCGTTCTCTGAAATTCTTTTCCACATTATATATTGTCAGGAAGCTCTACGAGTCCCCCGGCGGTAAGAAAGGTTGACGGTTTACCGCCGGCGCCCAGTTGGTCGACCCGGCCAGAAAGGACAAAGTGGTAACTTTTGGGTGGTTTTCCAACTTTTTGAAAGATGTTTGACAATTCATTTTGAGAAAGGAGATTTTTCGCACCTGTAAGCGGTTATGAGGGCCTCTCTGTCTTAGTATGAGCTCTGTAGGCGCACTTTTACTATCAAAACACTTGGCGGAACCATCTGCATGTCGACACGAAAAAATCATTTTTTCTTTTTTTTTTCCGAGAAATACTTCCAGAAGCTCTCTCTTTCGACTCCGAGCACCCTTACGCGTGAAATGAGCTCTACGAGGTTCCCGGCGGTGACCAGGTTGACGGTTCACCGCCGGCGCCAGTTCCGAAGCGCTGGAGAGCTAGTTGGCAAGAAAAATCTCGACGGACCTTTGGGTGACTTTTGGTCAGTTGAAAATTTTGTTCTCAAAATTCAACAATTCGTTTGAGCTCTAGTATTTTTCCCGTGATATTCGATCCCATTCCCGCTCGCCATCTTGATCTCAGCTCGATCGGGTACCTTTTACTGCCAAAAAGCGTCCCGGCGGGATCGGCCGTTTCGAGTCATCTTGATACGCGTTGTCGGTATTTTGTACTCAACTCGAGCTGTAGGGCAGCTACAGAGCTGGTAAGCACACCTATCGCATTCAGAATTATCAGGCGCGTTCGCCTGTTGAATCCAGAGGTCTGAACTCGGTCTGCTAGCCGAGCTAGGTCTGCAAACCTATTCGTATTATTGGAGTCATCTTGACAGACGCTCTCGGTTTTCTGTATTTAACTCGAGCTGTAGGGCAGCTACAGGGCTCACTGTCACAGACATCGATGGGAAATCATCAGTCGCGTTCGTCTATTGAACCGAGAGCTCTGAACTCGGCCTGAGCTAGGTTCGCGAAACTATTCGTATTGTCCGAATGATCTTGAGGAGTGCTCTCGATTTTATGCACTCAACTCGTGCTGGGCAGGGCTACAGTGCTGCGGGTCACAGCTATCGATTTGCACACATCAGGCGCGTCTGTCCGTCGATTCCAGAGCTTGGAACTCGGTCTGCTGCTCAAACTAGGTCCGCGAAACTATTCTATTATTCGAGTCGATACTGTCGGATTTCTGCACTTAACTCGGGCTGTAGGGGGGCTGCAGGGCTGGGAATCACATGAGTGGATTCGCAGACATCAGACGCGCCCGCCTGTCGCATTCAGAGGTCTGAACTCGGTTTGATACTCGAACTGGATTACGAAACTGTTTGTTTTTTTGTTTGAGTCATCTTGAGAGGTGTGAAATCGCTTGGGCTGAAAAACTGGTCGTCCTTTGGAGTTTTTTCCACACTATATACTGTCAGGAAGCTCTACGAGTCCCCCGGCGGTAAGAAAGGTTGACGGTTTACCGCCGGCGCCCAGTTTGGTGACTTTTGGTCGGTTGAAAATTTTGTTCTCGAAATTCACTAATTCGTTAGAGCTCTAGTATTTTTTCCCGTGATATTCGATCTCATTCCCGCTCGCCATCTTGATCTCAGCTCGATCGGGTGAATATTACTATCGAAAAGCACGGTGGCGGGATCGGCCGTTTTAAGTCATCTTGATACGCGCTGAAGGTTTTCTGAACATAACTCGAGCTTCAGGACAGCTATAGAGCTGGAAAGCACAGCTAATCGATGGAGAATGATCAGGCGCGTTCCGCTGTTGAATCCAGAGGTCTCTACTCGGTCTGCTAACCAAGCTAGGTCCGCAAACCTATTCGTATTATTCGAGTCATTTTGACAGAAACTCTCGATTTTCTGTACTTAACTCGAGCTGTAGGACAGCTACAGAGCTGATGCGTACATAATCCGATTCAGAATCATTAGTTGCGTTTGTCTGTCGAATCCATAGCTCTGAACTCGGTCTGCTGCCCGATTTAGAATCGCGAAACTATTTGTATTCGTCGGGTCATCTTGAGAAGTCCTCTCGGTTTTCTTCACTTAACTTGCGCTGAAGGGGGCTATTGTGCTTGTTGTCACAGAAATCGATTTGAAGAAATCAGGCGCGTCCGCCTGTCGAATCTAGAGCTCGGAACTCGGTCTGCTGCCCGAATCAGGTCTGCAAAACTACTGTATTGTTCGAGTCATCCTGAGAGGTGCTGTCGGTTTTCTGCACTTAAGTCGGGCTGTAGGGCGGCTGCAGGGCTGGTAATGACAGGAGTCGATTCGCAGACATGAGACGCGTCCGCCTGTCGCATTCAGAGGTCAAAAAAATATCCACTATGAGTCGGAATGTTGGTAGGTGCTGTCGGTTTTCTCGACTTAAGTCGACCTAGGAAGCTCTACGAGTCTCCCGGCGGTAACCGTGGTTGCTTGGCTCAAGGCGTGGTTGCTCAAGGCGTGGTTGCTCTTCGCATCCGACAGGGGTTTTAAACTCTGCCTGGACCTCGCCTCCAGTTTAGAGCCCCTACGCCAGCAAAGCTTGTGTTCCGCTTACGTTACGAGGGCACGCACGCAGTCAAGCGCAGACTCCGTGACAGCCATCACGGTGCCCGATCTCTGCACTCTTGCCAGTTTTCAATCGTGTGTGGATTTGTTGTGCACTCAGGACGCATTACAGATAACAGATCTCCAGATTGGTTGCAGTTTTCTTTTATTCTCTAATCGATGTTGTCTTCTCTTGGTGGACCCCCTTGGTATTCATACTCAAGTGAGCGGTCTCAGATAAGTCACGACTGGCATGCATGTTACAACACTCATACTTCCCCTACTCTGTCCCCCGTGTCTGGTCCCAAATCGATCAGTTGGAAGCGCAAGACCCGTAGATTGACTCTGGCTGCCTGGAGGCAGATTGAGGTGGACTATAGCTTGTTTACCGTTCCGTTCGACACCACACGCGCTCCCGCCACAATCTATCTGGCTGGTGCCCTCGGCGAACATGTTGGTCCTTCGCAGGTGCATTCTGACGGCCTCAGTTCTTCCGCTCAAGTTTTCAGGCCTAGCGGTCCAGTGGTGGGCAGTTCTTCCGCTCGAGTTTCAGGCAGGGAAAGAGGCGACAAGAGGGGGCGAGAGGAAAGCGATGGCCGTTCTTCAAACCAGGGCAGTGCTTTAAATCATGGCAGTTATTCAATTCAAGGTTCTTCCAATCAAGTTTCTTCAAATCAATTGGGCAGTTGTTCCAACCAGAGCAGTCCTTCAAATCAAGGTTCTTCCAATCAAGTGTCTTCAAACCAGGTTGGAGCTTCGTCAGAGGTTGGTGCGAGTGCGGACCCAACAGTGGAAGCTTCGTCAGAGGTTGGAGCTTCGTCAGAGGTTGGCGCTTCGACAGAGGTTGGAGCTTCAAATCAAGGTTCTTCCAATCCAGTTTGCTCCAATCAAGTTTCTTCCAATCAAGCTTCGTCCGAGGTTGGAGCGAGTGCGGACCCAACAGTGGAAGACAGAGATCCAGAGGAGATGTGTGAGGAGATGTTTGAGGAGATGTTTGAGGATGTATGCCAGCATCTCCTTCCGAGGCCACATGTGGACCCGAGTCGACTGCGAGCGTACATGATGTTGTTTCCAAAATACCATGACGATGGGGAATCGAGTGATAGTGAGTTCGAAAGTGCGCAGACTGAATGGGTTGTCGACTTCTTAGCGGCTTACACAAGCTGCCCTCGGGAGGAGAGGGATCATTTCTTGCACGAATGGGCTGACCTCCTCGAGTATGGATGTTATCCCGACATGCTCCGAACCCTCCAGGACATAGTCGCACACGATGGGCTTGCTATTCATTATCGGTCTCTCGCACAACACTTCCTTGGACGCCTATTGGAGACGATGGATTAGAGTTATCGCTGTGTTGGTTGAAACGTTATTGAACTGGCTCCCAAAACTCAGCACGGGTTGAAGCGACCCTTTTCTGCCCAATGGGAGCTTATCTTCTTGGGACTTCGCATATATACGGTTAGGGTGTTTCCTTCCCTTCCAAACGTTTGGTCTGCCTGTTGGTCGGTTGTGGCTGATTTCGGAACAGTGTGGATCTCCCTCAATAATCATGTGTATCCAAAGTTTCGTGTTGGTAACCTCTTGTATACTGGAGTTGCGTAATTGTTGACCGCTTTAGTGTAATGTGGCTTCTGCACATGTTGCTTCATGTCATATTCTAAGGCTTCGCCTTGTTGTGCACTCCCCGTGGTGAGACGTTTACTAACTAGCATCCCTTGTAGGTTGTCCGCTGTCTCGCTTTTGGCGAGTCGTGGATGCTTCGTGTTGGATGGCGAGCATCTGCTCCGCTGCTGCGGACCTGAATCTTGAGCGGGGACTCCTCTGTCCCTGTGGGCTCCGAGCAAAGCAAAAACCAAGGTTGACGGTTTACCGCCGGCGCCCAGTTTTAAACCCTTTAGCTCTCAGCGAGCTCTCCGGGAACTATTGTATTGTTCGAGTCACCCTGAGAGGTGCTGTCGGTTTTCTGCACTTAACTCGGGCTGTAGGGGGGCTGCAGGGCTGGTAATCACTGGAATCGATTTGGAGACATCAGGCGCGCCTGTCTGTCGAACCCAGAGCTCGGAACTCGGTCTGCTGCTCGAACTAGGTCCGCGAAACTATTGTATTATTCGAGTCATCCTGGAAGGTGCTGTCGGTTTTCTGCACTTAACTCGGGCTGTAGGGGGGCTGCAGGGCTGGTAATCACATGAGTCGATTCGCAGAAATCAGACCCGTCAGCCTGTCGAAATTAGAGGTCTGAACTTGGTTTGATACTCGAGCTGGGTTGCCAAACTGTTTGTTTTTTCGTTAGAGTCGGCTTGAGAGGTCTGAAATCGGTTGGGCTGAAAAACTATTCGTTATCTCAATTTTTCCCTCACTATATACTGTCAGGAAGCTCTACGAGTCCCCCGGCGGTAAGAAAGGTTGACGGTTTAGCGCCGGCGCCCAGTGTTCAAAGTCGAAGCGGCAGTATTATCAAAGCATTCAGGTGACAATGTGATAACTTTTGGGTGGTTTTGCGAAAATAACTCGTAGAGCTTCCCTTAGCAAGTTATGGCTGGAAGCTAAGAGTAATTCCGGCGCGCTGGAGAGCTAGTTGGCAAGAAAAATCTCGACGGAACTTTTGCTGACTTTTGGTCAGTTGAAAATTTGGTTCTCAAAATTCAACCATTCGTTAGAGCTCTATTTTTTTTTCCCGTGATATTCGATCTTATTCCCGCTCGCCATCTTGATCTCAGCTCGATCGGGTACCTTTTACTGCCAAAAAGCACACAGGCGGGATCGGCCGTTTCGAGTCATCTTGTCACGCGATGTCGGTTTTCTCAAGATAACTCGAGCTTCAGGACAGCTACAGAGCTGGTGAGCACAGCTAATCGATTCAGAATGATCAGGCGCGTTCGCCTGTTGAAGCCAGAGGTCTGAATTCGGTCTGCTAGCCGAGCTAGGTGCGCAAACCTATTCGTATTATTCGAGTCATCTTGACAGACGCTCTCCGTTTTCTGTACTTAACTCGAGCTACAGGACAGCCAAAGAGCCGCTACGTACAGAATCTAATTCAGAATCATCAGTGGCCGTTGTCTGTTGAATGCAGAGCTCTGAACTCGGTCTGCTGCCCGATCTAGAATCGCAAAACTATTCGTATTGTTCGAGTCACTTGCGAGATACTGTCAATTCTCTGCACTTAACTCGGGCTGTAGGGGGGATGCATGGCTGATAATCACTGGAATCGATTCGGAGACATCAGGCGCGTTCGCCTGCGGAATCCAGAGCTCCGACCTCGGTCTGTTGCCCGAACTAGGTCCGCGAAACTATTCGTATTGTTCGAGTTATCCTGAGAGATGCTGTCGGTTTCCTGCACTTAACTCGGCTGCAGGGGGGGCTGCAGGGCTGGTAACCACAGGGATCGATTCAGAGACATCAGACGCGTCCGCCTGTCGCATGCAGAGGTCTGAACTCGGTCTCATGCTCGAACTAGGGTTGTCAAACTATTCGTACTGTTCGAGTCATCTTGAGAGGTGCTGTCGACTTA